TGGAATGGTTTTACCTTCAAAGTAAGCTGTCTAAGGCGTGACTCCACCCAGCCCTTCCATCCCAGCAAATCATCAGCATCTGATGCAACCATGTCAAGTTGTAGATAGTTTTTATATGCCTCAAAGAAAAGATATGGCTCAAACAAAGCACTCCATTGCACTTTGTTCAGCTCAATCTCCTACAACAGGACAGAATTACAAAAGTAGTGCGGCATTGCTCAATTTTAGGGCAAATGGAAAATAAAATTACCAGGCATTCTTACCTCACACATCCTGTTACCACATTTAAACTGTTCCATCATAACATGAAGAGTGCTTAGAGAGACATTATAGCTAGAGTTCATGCATGGGTATGCAGGAGTTATTATGGGCATGTGATGCAACCTGTCACGAGGATTCCTCTGATGATCCCATACAGTTAAACCTAGTTCATCTGCTTCTATTGGACACAGCATCACAGGATTTGGCCACCACCACTGCATATACACTCTGAAAAATCGCGAAACCAGCAACCTGGGAATTGCATTGGGATAGAGCTGGCAGACACGTGCAACTAGGAGAGCCCAATTAACACCTCCTAAAAATCCAGTTACCTAAAAAAAGGGAAAATGCAGATAAACAAAATATTAAAGAGAAAGAGCCAACAAAGAAGAAAAACCCACCAATATACTTATCTTACATGAGAATATACACCACGTCTTTTCACCTAAAGCTTCAAACATCTGAGTGCTGTCCGGAAGTGCTACAGTTATGCAAAGGATTAAAAGACTGTTTAATAGAAATAAAAATTAAATAAATAGAGCAAGGCACGTGAAATGTTCACCTCAACATTTGGAACAAGTTTAAGGATTTGATCTGCAACCCTGCACCCATATTTAAGACTTCAAACAGATTGTTCATCAGTTTTATACAGCACAGACCCATGAGAAATGTCAAAGTCCTGTTGATCATTTCCAGAAGAATGAAGGAATCAAACTGAATGTGGTCCCATAAGCAGGAAAGCCATCTTAGCCACAAAACAGTAAAATGTAAAGATATTCCTTGGGCTATTGGTCAAACCCATTTTGAACCACCAAGCCCCAGTTGCAGCATAATAGCCGCACAGAACCCATACCCAAACCAAATATAAGATCACCTCTATCTGTTTTACATTAGGAGACCAACCTTCTTGTTTTTCCTTTTATAATGTTAAGTAGCAAGTAAAATGGAAAATAATACCTCCCAGAGCCACCATCAAGCAAACTGTCTAGCTGAAAGCTAGCTACCTTTGCCATGTCTGCTTATGGTATTTGCCCATGATTGATTTTGCTTACATATCCCTTACAATCAAACATTGCAATGTGGAATTTAGCCTCCTTATCATTTCTTCTTGTCCCTTGTAATTTAAAAAAAAAAAAAATACAGAGCCTATGGTCAAAACTACAATGATATTATGGTTATGTTTGAACATTGGTTGCCTTGTTTCTCAATGTCAATATGGAGGTAGTAAAATAGGAATATGATCTAGAAATTGACATCGTAAGACTGAGGGAACTTATGACAGGAATCACTATGCTGGGAAAAAATGTGTCCATGTTAACAAATCTTAGATTGGTGGACTTGATGACTTCCACTTGTGTAGAGAAAAGGCAGAGCCTGGAAAAAGAAAAAATCCTTGCATGTTTAGTCTACATGTATTAAATTAAATAAAACCATCACCAGAAGCTGAGAATTATTGTTGTCTTTTTTCATGGAAAAAGTTCTATTAATCTTGGTCCAAAGCCTTCGGTTGCCTGGTTAGCTCCCAGCCACTTTCAAATAGAGAAGCGGGTAAGAGCTATCTCAATGGACCATTTTTATGCTTATAATTGACCAGAAGAGAAATTGGTGTTCATATTTTTAAGAAATGAGGCCTTAGAAGTACAAAAGGATAGATCCAAAAGGGACAGAAAATACCGGTAGAAATTCCAATGCTCTCTTCAGATAACTTCTAAAGAAGCCAAGAAGTCCAGTAAATTATTCTCAACTAAATCAACTCTGAACTTCATCATAGTTTCTACCCAAGCAATTTCAGAACAACATTCAAGGCCTACAATTCACTTTCTTATTTAGAGAATTAGGAGCCAACCTATGTTTATACACATCCTCTAACACTGAGGTAACTCCAAGAACAATAAAGTCAAAAGGTGGAATTGGATACTTGGGAAGAAAAGATGGGCAAAAAAAAAAATTAGAAACCAAGGCCATATTGAAAAATAATGTACAGAATTCTATCAAATCAAATAAAATTTCTCAACATTTTGAATCAATAATTCATTGACAATAGAGGCATAGAAAGAGAAAATGACAGTAAAGAAGGAAAGATAGAATGATATGCCTTTGAATAACAATAATAATGAATTTTTTTTTTTTTCATATAAAATGTTAGACATATATGAAAGTTTAATCTAAAACTAAGAGTTCAGATAGGCATACCCAAGTTTACATATGAAAGGTAATACAAAGCCACCAAGACACAGGTCAAAATGGAAACAAATTCCAGAGCTATGAGCGAATTTGCAAAACTCCCAGAAGATAAATGTAATATCTTTTCAGTTGGAAGTTATTGAAAAGAATTATGTGAATAAATCACTATAACATGTAGTTTTTTTTAACATTATGGGTAGAAGAAAATTGACACTTACCTCAACAGGTCAATGATGCCATAAGGAAACCCATGTGCAGATCCAACAATCTGCAATAACATTAAAATTTAAACCCATTAACTTATCAGCTATAAAAAATAAAAAATAAAAAAAAAAAGAAGGAAAAAAAAGTTCAGCTACAGTGAACTATGCGTTTGAATAAGACTTACCTCAACAGGACAATGATGCCACCCAAGAAACCACTTGAAACTATGCTTTCTTTAATCATTTGGAATCCTCTCAGAAATTGCAAATTAGTTGAAGTCAAGCTAAATCCTTTTTCTTCTATTTCCAATCATTTTTTTGTACCATTAGAGCATTGGTCCAAATTAAAATTCCCTGAATGGGTTATATTCACATGACTTAAAAAAAAATTTTCCTTTATAAATCAGTTCAAATTTTGAGTTTTTTAAATGGAGCCTAAAGTTTTATTGGAAATAGACACCATATGTGCTTGGACTTTTCAAATGAATAAATTTTGTTGAAAATATATAATAAATATTAATTTAAAAATAGTGGAATGATCTTTTGATTTAATTATCCTTGCTGGTATCTGGTCCAAAGTAAGTTCCTTGTGCTTGATGAAAATTTTGCACCAATTTGAGTTAATGGCAGCTTGCTTTTAGCCCTAACAATGGCAATTTCCTTTCTAATTCCCACCATGGAAGAGAGGAGTAGAGAACACTGTACAGACAGATAAAAAGAACATTACTGAAGGTGCAACAACTAAAGGATGATAACAAATAAACCCACCATATTCAAATAAAATCTCAAGGTTATGAAGCAACTCTCAATTTTTTTTTTTTTTAATTGCCTTCTTCCCCAGTTTTCCCGAATCTCCTCATGGTTTTTTGTTTGAATTTTTTTGCCCAAGTCTTCGGTGATATTTGATGCTAACAGCATCCATGGAACAAAGTATATACAATTAGACTTGTTCCACCATTCATTCATTAGGTTCAAGCAAGGTAATTGGCAAAAACTTTCAAAATTCTCATATATATATACTATATAGTTGGTTATATTATTTGTCACTTTTAAGTAATTACATATGTTTCATTATTTGCCACTCAAACACTATATTACATCCTTGTCTTAAACCAAACCTAAATCCTTTCCATCCTTGTTTGAAGGACCAGCATTCCACATTCAAGATATCTGTATCCTATTTATTAAATGACTCCTGTTTTTTACCAATGCACCATTCCTCCTCTAGGATACATAATTGCAACTGTTTAAATAGGATAAGGAAATATAAAATAAGTGATTGCAAATGAAGATGTAAAACAGCACATATGTCATTTATGGACCACTCTCATAAAATACTTGCTCTCCATCCAGTAAAGTCTATCACACGACAGAGCATAACTAAACACACCTGATGAACCTATGAGCAAATTTGTTATCATTAAACACCTAATGAACATATGAGCAAATTTCTTATCAATTAAACACAGAGGGCTTAGTTTATCATTAAAAAAAAAAAAAAGCCAGAGAGCTCAATGCATGACAAAAGCAGAGAAGAAGAATCCATGGCCTTTATCATCCACATCATCCACAAACGGACAGGTTTAATTCAATTCGTAGTTAAGATTTTGAAAGAAAACTTGGCTCCCAAAAGGTATCCAATCACAGCATTGAAGCATACAGAGCACTAATGCAAGAGTTCTTAATAATCACCTCAAATTTCGTAAATTAGGAATAGAAAAACAAAATTTTACTGAAAAATTAGAGTTTATATTCTCAAAAAACCTTAGCCGCAAAACAAAATTCAATTCTTATAGTTCCAGCATACAAAGCACCGACTCATGATTTCTCAATAATCATCCCAATTTCAACAAATTAAGAATGGAGCAACAAAAATTTAGAAAAAATACCTCAAAGGCAGCTTCAGCAAACTGAAATCATTTTCAATTCTCCAATTAATCAATATCAAGTCATCAACAGTTGAGATTTCAGTAGGGAAACAAAAAATCAAGTTTTGCACGTTAATAAAATCATTGGCATTTAATACATTTACAACCACATATTAATTAATGAATCAATCATTAACTGTGTAATTGTAAACAAAGTATCATCACCTTGAATGTATTGATTTTGTTACAAACATAGTTTCCAACTAAATATGCTCAAACATGTGAAAGGCTGGTGGATCCTATTGCTTTCTTGCAAAAGAACAAAAAGCATATTTAGCAAAATAAAGTAAAAAAAAAAAGGCATGATTAGAAAAATGAAAGGATGGTGGGAATACCGTTTGCAAGATATCTAACGGAAATCAATCAACAATTGAAATCCTAGCACCGAAAAACGTATTCCAAAGGAACAAAAACTCCAAAATCAAATATAAAATGTACATTTAAATTCACTCACCAAAACTTGACTTGAACCGACCCACAACTTCATTCTGCTCATCAGCTTCGGTAAGGAAAGCCCTCCTGACAGTCTGGTATTGGTAAAACTGCATAATCCCACAAACAGCTACATTTCACCATCAATTTATGGAGAAACAAAAGCAAAATTAAAAAGCTGGTATTCAAAGTTTCAAACAACTAATATTGGGGAATCGAATAGAATATGATGAAATCCTTGATGGAAAGATGCATAATATTAGGAAATCGAGTAGTGTGTCGCAATTGGATCATAGACGAAGAAAGAGGATTCTGGATTCGTGGATGAGGATGACTACGATGTTACGTACCAAGGTATGATTGCAAGGTTTTCGACATACGAGTAGTTCACCACATGGACCGAGACTCTCTACCGGAACTTGTTCTTGAACTCAGACCACGCTTGGTACACGTTTGGACGCCCTTTCAAATCTGGGTTTCCGGGCAAAATAGAGTCGCATACCAAGAAAGACCACCGCTCTCGTGGGGAAAGCAGTGTTTCACTGCCCGAAGATCTTGTTAGAACTGGCCAATTGAATGGTAAGCACCGGCGATTCCTTCGCGGGAGAAGGCACTTGAATGCTGGCGTTGTTCAGGAAAAAACAGTAAGAAGCATTTGTTGGTCAACATGGTAGTTCTCTATTTCGAAAGATTGGAAGTTTTCAGCGGTTATCAATAAATAAGAGCAATCGTGGGAACTTGGATTGGAGGAGAAGGTGGAAATATGAAAACCACAAAAGGAATCATAGGCACGAAGGGAGGAACACCTGCCATTAAGGTTAGTTTCTTGCAGTTTCTGGGTGGCAGAAAGGTATGGAAGCGAAAGAGCGAAAGCAACAACAGAAGAAGCTACATTAATAAAACGTCTCGTTGCCTGTCGTTTTTTGGGCCAGCTAAGCCCATTAAAGCTACATTGGAATTGCTATTAATTATAAGGATAATTATATAAGGATAAGGATAAGGATTGATGATAACGAGAATAAGTATCCCTCTTCTCCTTGAAGTAGAGGTGATGACAGTTTGAGAAGATGTTGAAGAATTCTTGGGTTTTTTTATTTGGGATACAAAGCTGAGATTTGGATGAGCTGTGGAGTTTTTGCAAGGGAAAGGAAGTGGGGTGCGGGTTGGATTGGAAGAAATCAAGTTTAAAGAGGCAGAGCATGAATGGTGCAGTGAATGCTTGCCCATTTCCCTTACGAGATGTACATGGCCCAAATGAAGATCAAAAGTGGGTCAACAAGTTGGGCTGGGTCCCATGGTCTGAACTTGCTCAGCTTACTTGTTTCTGGCCCTCCAATTTTAGGACTAGTCCACAATACAGAACTATAGGGCAGTGCAGAAGAAAAAGGGGAATAAATAAATTAAGAAATGAATGGTTTTTTAGCATGGATTATATAAGAAAAGTGCAATTTAGATATTATAATTAAGAAAAAGTGTTTGTCAACTAGATTTTTAAAAAA